GTTGACCGTTACGTTGTGTCTTTATTTCAACTCACTAGCGACATGTTTGCGCGGTCTTAGATCTTAGGAATCTGAATATTTGTTTGATGATTGTGTCCTATTCACGATTGCGAAACGTTGACAGAAGTCACATGGCGGATAATACATGCATGGCAGGAGATGTTTGCATTGTGGACGCACATGGTCTCGCTACTTTTGGAGTTCATACGATACCCTCAGATTTTATTTGTTACCTTAATTTGCATCTTCTTACTAAATTGATTTGATTTGAACATCGGTGAACTACTGTTGTTTAACTTTATTCTTCAGCTATTTTGTAATCTTTGCTTAAAATTTTAAAATGTTCCTGTTTTAGCTCACCTGGCCTGAAAAACCAAGTGAACTTTTCTCATCACTTGGCGTCCGTCGTCCGTCGTCGTCGTCCGTTAACTTTAACAAAAATCTTCTTCTCTGAAACTACTAAGCCAATTTCAACCAAACTTGGCCGCAATCATAATTGGGGTATCTAGTTTAGAAAATGGGTCCGATGACCCCGCTTGCCAACCAACATGGCCGCCATGGCTAAAAGTAGAACATGGGGGTAAAATGCAGTTTTTGGCTTATATCTTTAAAACTAAAGCATTTAGAGTAAATCTGATAGGATTGAAATGTTCATCAGGTTTAGATTTATCTGCCCTGAAATTTTCAGACGAATAAGACAACCCGTTGTTGGGTTGCTGCCCCTGAATAAGTAATTTTAAGGAAATTTTGCAGTCTTTGGTTATTATCTTGAATATTATTATAGATAGAGATAATCTGTAAACAGCCATTGTGTTCAGCAAAGTAAGATCTACAAATAAGTCAAACATTATCAAAATTGTCAATTGACCCCTTAAGGAGTTATTGCCCTTTAAAGTCAATTTTTAACAATTTTTCGTAAATTTTTATAATCTTTCACAAAAATCTTCACCTCTGAAACTACTGGACCAAATAAAACCAAACTTGGCCACAATCATCATTAGGGTATGTAGTTTAAAAATGTGTCCGATAACCCCGCCTGCCAACCAACATGGCCGACATGGCTAAAAATAGAGCATAGGGGTAAAATGCAGTTTTTGGCTTATATCTTTGAAACTAAAGCATTTAGAGCAAAGTTGACATGTGTAAAATGTTCATCAGGTTATGATTTATCTGCCCTGAAATTTTCAAACGAATAAGACAACCTGTAGTTGGGTTGCTACCCCTGAATTGGTAATTTTAAGGAAATTTTGCAGTTTTTGGTTATTATCTTGAATATTATTAAAGATAGAGATAACCTGTAACAGCAATAATGTTCAGCAAAGTAAGATCTACAAATAAGTCAAATTACCAAAATTGTCAATTGACCCCTTAAGGAGTTATTGCCCTTTAAAGTCAATTTTTAACAATTTTTCTTAAATTTTTGTAATCTTTAAAAATTCGTCTCCTCTGAAACTACATGGACAAATTTAACCAAACTTGGCCACAATCATCATAAGGGTATCTAGTTTAAAAGATATGTCCGATGACCCCGCTTGCCAACCAACATGGCCGACACGGCTAAAAATAGAACATAGTGGTAAAAAGCAGTTTTTGGCTTATATCTCTGAAACTAAAGCAAAAGTATAATGGTTGCATTATTTCATGCATCAATTGTAAACAAAAATATCAGGTGAGCGATACAGGCTCCTTGGAGCCGCTAGTTAAATATAACTGTGGGGAGGGTGGAATATATGCTCCAGTTTTGATGTTTCCTTAGATTCGACTTGTGGATATAAAGCGAAAAGGCAAACATTTAACGCGTTCCGCTTTATGAAATAACAAAGACGAAAACATGAACACTGACATTATTGGTACAAATTTTACTGCACCATATCCGTATTTCGACAATTAATGTATCTTCATTGATGCTCGATCCCAAAATATTTGAAAATGGAAGATCCAAAACTAATTAAACGTTGAAGAGCTGATCAAAATAAAAAAAGACCTATAATTAAGACCTACTATGGAGGTTTAGCTAGCTATAAAATCAGGTTTAACCCACCACTTTCTTCGAATCATGCCAGTTCCAAGTCAGGAATATGGTAGTTGTTTTTCACTTGTTCTGTTGATTGAAAGCGTTTGATATTTGTCAGTTTTATGTACTTCCCCTATTTTGAATTTAATTTAAGTGCACTATTTTTTATATACACTTTTACCATCAACCTATGAACAACATACTGTTTAGCCTTATACAATATTCATGGTTTTAACAGAGCCTTTCGACATAACACTTTACTAACATATCCGATGCAATATTATTGATAGATCAGGCGATATGCTCTTTCAAAAATAAAATCAATGAATTGCTGCGAATCAAATTTGCTCAGCCAAACAATTTGATCCTTTTGTCTTTTGATATTTGTCAAGCCAAGCAATTTGATCCTTTTGTCTTTTGATATTTGTCACAAATATGTTCCGCTTGTCGTAGTTATTATCCTGTCCTCTTTTCCCATTTACAATGTCACTATTTAATGTAATTTAAAATATTTTGAGGACTTATTTGTTTGTTCTTTTTTTAGGTCACCTGGCCTGTAAGGCTAAATGAGCTTTTCTCATCACTTGGCGTCCGTCGTCCGTCGTCGTCGTCCGTCATCGTCCGTTAACTTTTACAAAAATCTTCTCCTCTGAAACAACTGGACCAAATAAAACCAAACTTGGCCACAATCAATATTGAGGTATCTAGTTTAAAAAAGGTGTCCGATGACCCCGCCTGCTAACCAAAATGGCCGCCATGGCTAAAAATAGAACATAGGGGTAAAATGCATTTTTGGCTTATATCTCTGAAACTAAAGCGTTAAGAGTAAATCTGAAAGAGAGTAAAAATGTTCATCAGGTTGAGATCTATCTGCCCTGAAATTTGCAGACGAATCAGACAACCCGTTGTTGGGTTGCTGCCCTTGAATTAGTAATTTTAAGGAAATTTTGCAGTTTTTGGTTATTATCTTGAATATTATTATAGCTAGATATAAACTGTAAGCAGCAATAATGTTCAACAAAGTAAGATCTACAAATAAGTCAACATGGCTAAAATTGTCAATTGACTCCTTAAGGAGTTATTGCCCTTTTTAGTCAATTTTTTACAATTTTTCGTAAATTTTGGTAATCTTTTACAAAAATCTTCTCCTCTGGAACTGCATAGACAAATTCAACCAAACTTGGCCACAATCATCATAAGGGTATGTAGTTTAAAAAATGTGTCTGATGACCCCGTCTGCCAACCAACATGGCTGACATGGCTAAAAATAGAACATAGGGGTAAAAAGCAGTTTTGGCTTATATATCTGAAGCTTAAGCATTTAGAGCAAATCTGAAGCAAATAAAAATGTTCATCAGGGTAAGATCTATCTGCTCTGAAATTTTCAGACGAATCAGACAGCCCGTTGTTGAGTTGGAACACCTGAATTGGTAATTTTAAGGGAATTTTGCGGTTTTTTGTTATTGACTTGAATATTGTTATAGATAGAGATTAACTGTAAACAGCAATATTGTTCAGCAAAGTAAGATCTACAAATAAGTCAATATGACCAAAATTGTCAATTGACCCTGAAAAATCTTCTACTTTTAATATAACTACTTGGCCAAATTAAACCAAAGTTGGCCTCAATCATCATTAGGGTATCTAACACTACTTATAATGATTTTAACCTTATTTTACATGATTTCCAAAACCATAGTAGATACAGGTGAGCGACACAGGCTCTTAAGAGCCTCTAGTTTTTCTTTTCACAGTGCTGTTTGCTTTCCTCCATATATGCATTTTGCCTCCTACTTTGTATCTTTTTGCATTACAGATGCAAATCAAAATGACAACTGGTAATATATAGATGATATCACCAGCCCAGTAGCTAGTTTCTCGGTACTGGCATGAAAATATGGATATTTTTCTATCTAAATTTGCAGTTATAAAATTTCGAAATCATTTCAAATTAAGGAATGTATCTCTCTCATGCTTAACTTTGATTCCTTATACGGGATTACCTTTAGTTTTGATCCTTTTGGTTTTATCAGCTCTTCAACGTTAGTATTATGTTATGGAATAAAAAACTATTTTGGCCTCGAGCATCACTGAGGAGACATTAACTGTCGAAATGCGCATCTGGTGCAATATAATTGGTACCGTTAATGTTATAAAAAGAGAGCATAATTACCTGTTCCTTGATATACTGATACCATGTAACAATAATCCATCAGTTAAAAACACTTTGCAATATATTGCTATAGTACATAAAAATAGAATATTACAAAAGAGAAGAAAAAAAGAGTAAAAATATATGATTTAGATTGAAACCCTATTAGGAGTGGTTCAGTATTTACAATAAATTATAATTCTAAACTAATGTTATTTCCTTAATGCAACCAGTTTTTCATAAATGGTGAACATATATAACTAGTATAAAAAAAAATTGTAAAAAAAACAACAAAAACTTATACTACCGGAAAAGGTGGGTGTATGTTGTTATGCAAATCATACACATTTTAAACTTTCAAATATATATGATTTGTTTTAGATTAAATTATTGTAAACATTGAATATTCGGAGCCTACTATATTTGCATAATTCAAGAAAAAACCCTCATTAAAATCGATAAGAACAATTTGATTGATTGATATTCTTACCGTACGGAAAAAACTATATAAACTAAAAGAATGGTTGAAGTTGATGTTGTTTAAATGAATGCAACATTAACGGTAAGTCATTAAAAGATCATCTGTATTCCTCAATTTTATTATGTTTATATTATTTATATTTGTTTACCTAATTATCCGTATAAGGAAGTAAGAAAAACACTCGCATAGTTAAAAAGTATTGTTTGCTAGAGGTAGACTATGAGTTAAACAAAAAAAGAAGATTTTTTTTTTATACTAGATATATTCATATAACCTTTTTGGTTCAATATATGAGGAGAGATATGTTTTATTTAACTGAAACTTCAATCTTTATAAAAATTATGAGATGTGGAATGATAGCATTTGAGACAACTGGAAACCATCAACCAAAAGTAAATTTCAGAAAAGAAAAGGAATTCAGAAGCATACTTTGGAACGTTTTTTCCATTTCAGTGTTAAGGTTCATCAAAAGGAACTGAAAAATATGGCCGTTTTTACACCACCAAATCTACTATGAGTACAGACAAACTGATACACCTAGGAAAGTTTTAAGGCATGGCAGGACCTAGATATATAAAAGTTATATGTAGTCTATGTTTCAATAAATTAAAAACTTACCTGGCATTTGATGTGCATTTTTTTCCAGTCTGCAGACGATAGCAAAATAAAAAAAACACATGAGTTTCATTTGAAACCGTCCACAGTAACACAGTTTAAATCACCTATTGTTTGCAGATGTCTATTGTCCATTTAAATCAATACTACTCACAACATTTATTATATGAGGGGAGCTTCTCAAACCTCTTTCCCAACTTAGTTTATTTTGGCACCTTCTTCAGGAACGAAAAAAAAAAATGAATAGCAAAATCCAGAAAAGTGTATTGTTTTCTGAAACATAAAATGCATTTAAAATTTAATTATCTAGTTCCTGCCATGCCTAAAAACTTTTCCTGGTGCACAGGTTTGTCTGTACTGAGAGTAAAATTTGTGGTATTAATACGGCCATATTAGCCAAAAGGTTATGATGAACCTTATGTATATTTCAATAAAATTTTCCGTAGAAGAAATATTCTTTTCGTCATTTACGACGACGATTAACATCTTGAAATATGTGCCACATGTGGAGCCGGTTCTGCACATCCTTTCTGAGCACCTGAGATCATCCCGGTATTTTGGTGGGGTTCGTGTTGCTCAGTCTTTAGTTTTCTATGTCGTGTTTAGCATACCCTTGTTGGTCGTTTTTCTTTTTTTGCCATGGCGTTGTCAGTTTGTTTTCGACGTATGAGTTTAAATTTCCCTTTGATATCTGTTCCTCTATTTTGAAAATCATGCGATTGATTAGTTAGTACTAAAGATCTGGTAAATTGTCTCTTCATTTAATTTTTTTTCATTATTTCAGCGCATTATTAGAAAACAAATGTCACGGTTTTTATTAGTACTCACGGTATGGAGCGTGAATGTCGCAGCACAGAAGTATCCAAAATATCTTGGTTCTAATGGAGGTGCACCAAGATATGAGCCATATCAGCCTAATCAACAGATAGCTTTACCTTCAAATGGTGGTTCACAAACAAGTGTTGGTGGTCCAAATGGAATGGCCACTAGTGGTAGAATTGCTTCTGAAGTTTTGCCAACCAGGAGTGGTAATGGCAACCAAGTAAACATTCCTTTAGAAGGAGGAAATGCTAATAACAATGTTGAAAATGTATGGCAACAACAAAACTCTGGTATGGGTGCAGGCTCTCCAAATGCGGGATCAAATTATCCATGGGAAGTAATCAGACCTGCAGTTGTTGGTGGTGGTAGTTTTAATACAGGTGGAATGCAGCGGCAATCTGCACAGCCTGGTAGAAAATCGGCGGGCAATGGGTCTGGTTTGGGCGGAATTTCAGTTGATCCAGATATTCCATATGAACAAATCCCCTATAACAATGGCGTCTTATATGATATATATCGTCAATATACTGGACCAGTTGATCATTACGTTAACGTAGCTCCCAACATTTATGATCCCTCCGCCATGTCTACTGCATTAAATGCCCCAAATTATTTGCCACCGAGTACGGCAATGAAACCAGTCAGTATACAACGCTCTGGGTCACCATCGGAGCAATTTGCCACCGATATAGGACAGGGACAAGGGATAGATATAGCAGTTGGTAATGGCAAGACTATGATACAAGGTAGAGGTGCATATCCAATTGGAAATGGAAGAACTATAGACAGAATACAATTAGGCGGACATGTTTATGAACAACCGATGGTAGATTCAGTCCAAAGCATAATAAACGGTAGAGAACATCCTGGTTCAAACGGACAAATGCTAGACATTATCACTGGCAATGATGGTTCAAGAAATGTCGAAGCATTCAATCTAGGAAATATTGACGCTATAACACGATCACACTTTCCAGGAAAAGGGGTTCAAAATGTAGTGCTGGTTATTCCAATAAATTTTGATCAGCTATTAGAACAGAGTCCGGGAACTGGTTCAGTTCTGGCGCAAAGTTTCGACCCAAATCTCATTGGATGCCCAGGTCCAAATTGTGGAACTAGTCCAGGTTTAAATTTACCTTTATCAGCAGGATCAGCTATTAACCAAGACAGTGGCTCGTTTATAGAAGTCGTAGATCAGTTAACAGATCCCAGAGTGACCGATCCAGTTGAAAATTCAGGATTTTCACCTGGATGGGCGCCTGAAATAATCACAGATCCACTCTATCCGCCACCAACGAATCAAATTATGGAAAGTCAACCAAGTTATGTATATAAACCAAAAAGTAAATTCAGCAAACCGACTTACAATAAACGACCTTATAGTAAACTAAAGCAAACATATGGTTCCTATCGTCAAACATATGAACGTCCAAGATCATACAGCAAACCAATGTATAGAAGCAAACACAATATGTACGAAAAGCCAAAAGTAAAATATGGAAAACATAAATTATTTTATAGTAACGGCTACAAAAAACCGAAAAAGTATACTAATACAGTAAATTATGGAAAGCCAACTTATCAAAAGAGGAAGTTATACAGTAAACCAAGGAAATACCAAGCAAAATCGTCTTACATTAAACGAAGATCATACAAAAAGAATTATAAGAAGGTAAATATTTAGAAATAGGAACATACTAATTCAATAAATTATCTAATATTCCATAAAGAGTAAAAAAACTGTTTAAAGGAAATTAAAAACCCGCTTCCTCTAAGTTAAACAAAATAATGTTAAAGTAAAGTGGAAAAGGAGGATTTTCAATTCACCTGAATTTAAAATAAAATAGATCACTTTCATCCAACAATGAATGCATGTAGCACACGTGGAACGAATGGCTTGTGGGGTTCGTGATGCTCTGTATTTAGTTGTCCATGTTGTGTTTTGTAGACTGCTGTTTGTTTTTTCGTCGGTTCTCGTTTTTTTGCCATGACTTTGTTAGTTTGTCTTCGACTTATGAGTTAATTGTTCCCTCGGTATTATCCGACTCTCTAGTGGTCAATAACAACGGGAACATATTAGTTATTATAAATGTATTTCAACTGTTGAAACGTTTTAGTGGCACACCAATATTCTCAAATATATATTCTTTTAATCATTTAGCGTTTCGTACATTTGTAATATGACATTTTCTATTTCAGTTCCGCGCTTATACAAAACTTATTGTCTATAATTCATTAATCAAAATGTTTAGAACTACAATGCTTAAGCTATATTTTATGTTTTCAGGGAGGATATTAGGATGACCATCTGAAATCGACACTTTTTTGTTGAAGGCGTCAATGGAATTTGTAATACTTAATTGAAATCTTACGTCCCATTTCAAATGGCAGCAAATGAAAATGCTCAAGATTGATATTCTGTTGGAAATGTGTTCTCGTCAAGGTAAAACCACTCTTTTTGCTGTTCAGTTGGATTTTGAGTTTAAACATTTCAATATGAAAATATTTTATGATTATGGTTTCATTCTTTTTTTTTATATCTTATCAAATTACTTTGCGTGTAAAAATATCTTCACCCTGTAGACTTTGTTCGATACTGACAAGTTAATTAAAATTTGCCTTCCTTACTTATACTAGGAGGCGTTGCTCATAATATTTGTGTCCGAATGGATTTCGTCATAGCCATTTTTATAGCTCCCTCAATCTTTACTTAAATTCACAGTAAAACAGCTCCATGTGTGAACTTTGTGATTATTACAATATTATGGTACAATCCTATATATACCACGTAATTATAAACGACTGAAGATACCAACATCATAATTAATTTTGAAGTGAATCTTTCGGATATAAATCAACTGATTCTGGTAAGAGATGTCCTCCGATACAAAGATGTACAAAAACATGTAAAATTTGCCATTTTGTATGAAAACGCTATCAGCAGCAGCATGTAGTGTTGATTAACATTATGATTTTATTTAAATATGTAAAACTGTTGTCAAATGTTTCGAGTATACGATACTACAGACTCTTTTATATTTAAGTTCAGTAGAAATTGACCACTTTTATATTTTGACCCTGAGAGCGAAATAAAAAAAAAAAGAAATTGACTCTACTTCTCAATTCAGTTTTTCATACGTTAGTATCCGAGCTTGCAAAATCCCTTAAGGTTGTTAATGTAATGAAAATCTCCAGTAATACTTTCTGTGCATAGTTTCATTAACAAGACAACACACAGATGCGTGTTATATAAATTTCGTTACTTTTTTAAAGTATTTGCACTACAAGCATGATGGTAACTGTCAGAAATATCACCGGTCTATGTCAAAATCAACAAGATTGGCATTAAAGTGATTTATTCTTTCAAAATCTCATCAATCTTATAAATTATGTATGAAATACCACATGATATGTTAATTTTCCTGTTATAAACATTCACTTATTACAGTTATCATAGTTCCCGCAATAAATTTAATTATAACGTGTTTTTTTCTTCTTCAATTCATCAGGACAGAAAAGGTTGATAAAGAAAAGTTGATATTTATAACTTCAAACTGTTTTTGTTATGTGTTATAATAATATTTTTTGATGATTTTTGTTATAACAATAGATATTATTATATTTCTAATTAAAGTTTTTGTTCAGTATAAGATATCAACTATTTATTTGAATTGTCATATAAGACAATATTTTCAGTTTAATTGCTTTTTTTAATGTAAAAGTCCAAAGTAGTTTATTTAATCCTGCGTATCCTACTTTTATTGTATAAACGCATCAAGTAAAATAAACGTATATTCCTCTGTGAAAAATGAGATTTTTGTTGAAAGTTTCTGTCCATAAACAAGGACAATACACGATTATGCTCTATAAGATGTTTGATAGGAAACCTCTGATGATGAACGAAAGGTAATTGTCCACCGCAGCGCACGTCACAACGGTACATAGTAATAGTATTTGTCCATCCGTCCGTCAGTACAACACTAATATCCAGTGACCATTTGTCCACAAGCTCGCATACTTGGTAGGATTATTTGTCTGTATGTTATCACGACAATACCCAATTGTCATTTTGATTTGACAATTATTGCGGGAGTTATCATGAGACTTTAATTATTTTTTACTACTGTAACTCAATAATTTGTGAACTCCGAGAGTGTTAGTGTGCAATTATGTAATTGACCATAATCTACTTTATTTTGTTTTGCAATTCTTGCAAGAGGTGTGGGACGATAACCATTTTCTTACTTTTGTAATACAAAAGAGATCTTTTTATCGCAATTTCTTTGAGACCGTTTAACAGAAAGCTTTCATACTTGGCAAGATTGTTTGTTATTATGTGTAAGTGTCAATACTCCACTTTCATTTTGATTTGCAAATGGTAACGGGGTTATTGGATTTATATTTTTACTATTGTAACACTTTAACACCTAGTGAAAACAACTGGAATCGTTAATCCGAAAGCTTTCATACTTAATAGGATTATTTCTCACCATATATAGTTCCTTTTAATTTGAGGATTTCTGGTGGAGTTATTTGACTTTGACTATCATCAGGATAGTGCAGCTATACTCACATATTATGACCGCTATAAAATGTGTAGATGTAGTATATCAGTCTATAGTTATTCATTTTACGAAACATTCTGTGCTGGGTAATGAAGTTACGCATAGTCGACTTTACTCAAAGAAACTGAGGTTCAAACTCGTTCAAACAAATTTTAATTGATTTGGCTATTCTTTTAGTCAATAACACCTCAGGTGTTCAAGTTTTGGTATCTCTTTGGCTTTCAAACAAACGTTTTTGAAATGGGATTGAGCGTTCCTAATGAAGGTTAATCAAGGTTTTTCATTATTCGGACGTTACTTGTAAACATGTATTTTTTTAGCTGTGGATACTTAATTTTGCAAATGCGTATAAAGGCAACATAAAAATATTCAATTTCTTTGTAAGATTTACTGCTTAATATTTGTTGCTTTCAGTTTTGTTCTCGAATTTTAGGGTTCCTAATGAATATAGATCTAGAAAAGCACTTTCGACGCACAATATTTATAAAGTGTTATTTTATGTTTACTACTAGCACTAGGTCGATACCGCTTCTGGTGTATTGTTAGTACCCGAGGGTATAAACAGCTCAGTAGTCATTGCTTGGTACTGCTGATTTATATCATTTCTTTTTCAAATTATCCGTTGATAAGTTTAGAAATTGTTAAGAAACTAAGCTTCCAACTTCCTCAGGCAAAGTTGACAAATTTTCTATACATTTCAGGTCCCTTTTGGTCAGATAGCTCATTACGCTTTTAATGATTTTCCCCTACTTATTGGCTTTCTAATGTTTAGATTTTTGATTTCCTGACGAAAAAAGATCCAGAGAAGCGCCTTAGACCACCAATATTTGTGTGATGTGTTATCTTCGTTTAGTGGATATTGGATGTTTACTTTTATTATTTTGATATGCATTATTTGTACACATATTTTTTATCATATTATTCGTATTATTTTTTAAGAATTAAACATAATAAAACTATTGTGCAAACTTCATTTTGGACATGGGTTGTTTTTCTTCGACTTGTGTTTTAGGATATTTCATTTTATTGTTTTTGTCCCTCCCACTCGTTATCTCAATCGAATACCATTTTACATTGATGTTTGGTGTTGTTGTTGGGCAACTGTTTCAATTATGTTTACTTCGCACTACATCTCATTAGACCTACAATTTATGTAACCAAAATAGACAGCCCCGATTAGCTCAGTGGAAACTAACTTCATAATCAACAATTTATTTCATCTGCAATTATATTTAATATGAACAGGTTACTTTAGAATCTACTCTTTTCGACAGAAAAATAAACAAACGAAATTAATAATGGTAAATATTAATTGATATTGAAACTGTGACAATTCTAAATTTGTCTGACACAACCTGTTTAGTTCTTATAATAAGGCAAATGAATAAGTTATAAGTATTATTATAATATCTCTGTGGGGTTTATCTAAATAATATCAGCTGGATACATCAAAATCTATTTCATACCCGTATAAGTTTTGTGGTTGCTAGTTCTAGTTCAAACGTTTTAATGAACTAAAAGAAAAAACTAATCAGTTATAATATTATTGTCACGAATGTATACAGTTATGACATAAACGATACCAAAATGATGATGTCATATCAGTAGTGGGGTTCAAATATTTGAACCCACTACCTACTGATTTGACATCATCCTGGCTTATCAGAATGCCTTCTGCAACATTTTACCTCATAGCGAGATTGAAATTAATTTAAATAAAATGGAGAGTGTGTCCATGGAACACAGATAATGTCGAGCTACCCTATCTTATGGTAGCATTATAATTAGTTTATGTTTATTACCTTGATTTGTCTCTTCCAAATCGATTTAAAAGATTTGATCATCGGTAAACTACTGTCGCTTTAATTAAAGGTAGTGAAGCAGATGTTCCCAACCTTTAAGTTTTAGTGTTATTTGTTGCTTGGTTCGCACATTTATTGGTAAATGGGTTGGTTGATTATCCTTGTCTGTATGTTGTCTCAGTCATGTTTGGTCCTTTTCCCCTCTTGGGATTGATTTTCTTTGCTACACTGTAAGTCCCCATTGCAAGAGAAACGTATAAACAAAAATTCAAGTATGTCAATTTATTAGTTCAAACATTTATAAATAAAATTTTCTTTTTACATATCAAATAATTGCTGATAAAAAAACTCATCAAAGATAACAGGGTTATAATTTAATACACCAGCCACGCTTTTCGTCACACAAGTCAGATCAGTAGAGCTCGAATAAAAACATTTGGAACGCCAAATTAATAACATTGAAGAGCAGATAAAATAAAGCATTACGTATGTTGCGTGAAACTAGCTTAATCCATTTATGTATAGGAGTAGGGAAACCTTGGTGTTTCAAATGTTCTGAACATCAGGAAATTCATAGAAAATGACCGTATCAATTATATTTCATGACAGCACAGAAATGTTGACTACTGGTCTGATGGTACCCTCTTGGGCGAAACGTTTGTCAGCAGTAGCATTGACACAGTGTTGTAAAACTCAACAAAGATACCAGTATTATAAATAAGTACGTCAAACATGCGCTTCGTCTCGACAGTTCAAAGACCAAACCAATAACTATGATATTAAGTGTTTTCTACCCAAGGAATAGCTGTTTTGACAAAACCTTTCGGAATTTGGGTCCCGAATGCTCTGCAACTTCGTACTTTGTTTAGTCTTTTTAACGTTTTTGATGCGAGTGTCACTGATGAGTCTTTTGTAAACGAAACGCGCTTCTGGCATATAAAATTAAAATCTTGGTATCTTTGGTGAGTTTATTGCTAACAGATAAAGTACCTGCGTGTATTAGAAACTTATCTTTATTTGTACCTGGTAAAAGAGAGGCGAAAGATACTAAAGGGACAGTCAAATTCATAAGTAGAAAATAAACTGACAATGCCATGGCTAAAAAAAAG